TGTTGTTTTCTTTTTAGAAAAGGCAGAGAAAATGGGCCAGAGTCTGATCAAAGTTCCATACAAGGAAACTTTCTGGAAGGGCACCATGCGGACACGACCCCGTGAGTAGCATTTATTCCACACTCTAGGGGCCAATCATCATATCAAAGCAGAATGTTTGCAATAATAGCGATGTTTTTGACCTTGTAGGTAATGGCACCCTCAACAAGCAGGCTGGTATCGATTATAAGCAACTCTCGCTGCTGGCAAAGATCAATGAAAACCAGTCTGGAGAGGTTAGCTGCACTCTGTTTTTATTGCTGCGTGCCAGTCTTTTTCAGCTCCCCGGCTGTTTAACACCATGCGCTCTGTTTGTAGTTATGGCAGGGTCGGTGGCAAGGGGACGAAATTGTAGTAAAAGTGCTACAAGTGAGAGACTGGACCACCAGGAAGAGCAGAGACTTCAACGAGGAACATCCTAAACTGAGGTGATTCAAATAACCGTACTGTAGGAATGAGAAAGGTTATAGTGGTGGGTCTGGGGCAGCAGTGTTTCTTGTGGTATCCGAACAATGAATCGGTATTCCATTGCATTGACTGTATATGAAAGATGGATCTAGCCATTGTTACAGCACGCACTGGTTTGTGGAGTTACATTTCGACTCTTATGACCTTTGCCATAATTCTTGAGCCAGAACTCACCATATTTGGACAATTGTATTATGAATTTGGGTGGGTAAACGGCACAAGGAGTCATCATATTTATCATAAAGCTAAATATTCCAGGAGGCACTAACACTGCATGTATCATACAGTTCAGTGACTTAGTTTGGTGGTGTTAAATTCACACTGTATCTTGGCCCTAATAATGCATAATTTTAAGCTTTAAGCTTTAAATGAGATAGTTTAAATAAAAAAAAAACATATCCTGGGAATTTATCTTTATAATTTAATTCTTGAATTAAGCTTGTTTCACCTCTGCTTTTCGTGTCATGGATCATGGGCAAACATCACAGGGTCACATGCTGTCAGCCTGCGTGTTTATGTAAACTGAGGCAAATACATTTGGTGCTGCAGTTTCTTATCTTGAGTCGGCTTAGCGTCTGTTTGAGTTACATAGAATCAGTCGACATTTGGCCTGGTGGCCATGCACTGGTAAACACAGTCCTCGTGTAGAGTACAGATGACCGCGATGAACCGCCGGTGAAGTCTGTGGTCAAAGATTAGCTAGGATGTTGTGCAGGATTCTTATGCAATGGAGGAGAGGACCCTTTATTTTTGCTAAGTCGGGTTCTACAGCAAACATGAACCTCTTTTATAAGATGAAACCAGACCCTTCACAATGTGACTCAAGCATTACTTTCTAATCCTGTTTTCTGTTATGAACTTATCGTGCAATAACCGTCGAACCCTGCAGAACGTGTTAAGACGGGCCCAGGCGGGCCCACAGAATGACTTCAGCATTCTGAAGCGTCCTCTGAATAGTATTAAATCACCTGAGCAAAACTGCATTCCCATCTCATCTACTTTTAATAAATTCTGTCATCCTCGGGATAAAATGACCAGAACAGAAGGTGAGAGAATCCTTTGAGCAGGCCAAATCAAAGAAACCTCACCAGGAAGGCTGAGTGCGCAGTAGGAACGTCCTGGCTGTGCTTGATGCAATCATCAAAGCGCTGGTTATGCGTGCGCCGAAGATTAGAGGCAACATAAGCTCTTTCATGTACTGCAAAAATAGGTGACAGTGAAATGCAAAAACACTGCTGCTGGGCTTAACTTTAAAGGTGACACAAATGGTGGGGTGGTTTCTCGTGGATTTGCAAAGCATTCTCGTGATTCAGACCAAGCTTTGAGGCCATTTCTTCTCTGTTAGTCTCTTCTTATCCCAGACAGACCATCTTGAGCTTAGAATAAATAGCTATTTATTAAATAATATTTAGAAACACTTCACAATCTCTCTTTTTTTTCTGTTGTGGCTTGATAGGATTTTTTCTCACCCAAACATCCTACCTGTTCTTGGGGCCTGTCAGTCACCGCCATCCCCTCACCCTATAATCATTACCCACTACATGCCCTACGGATCCCTCTACAACATATTACACCAGGGCACCAGTAAGTCATTTGACAATGTGTGCATGCGTTAAAATGAAAAGGCTCAAATTTGTCTTTTGTCTCAGCCTGAAAGAGCTAAGACTGCGGCAGGTTTGCCACTGTGGATGACGCTGTGTGGCTTCATACATTATGGATAAAGAAACGTATTTGTGCATGCGTCTTTCTCTCACTTATTTCTCTTATTTCTCTCACTCCCCCCCATCTCACTCATTCATGTCAGCTAGTCAGTTAAGTGACATTTAGATGTTGGTATCATGGCACTTAATTAAACCCCATATCCTACTTCTGCCTTCTGTTCCCTCAGCTCTCGTGGTCGACCAGAGCCAGGCAGTGAAGTTTGCACTGGACATTGCCAGTGGCATGGCTTTCCTCCACACCTTAGAACCAATGGTTTCGCGGCTTTACCTCAACAGTAAGCACATCATGGTGAGAGGCCTTTCTGCTGTCTTTTATTTCATTAGATATCCGCATGTTTATTATCAGATGTGATCACAAGATGTAATTCGTCTACAGATTGATGAGGACATGACCGCCAGGATAAGTATGGCGGATGCTAAGTTGTCCTTCCAGTGTCCTGGTCGTATGTACTCTCCAGCGTGGATGGCTCCTGAAGGTATTTATTCCCTTTTGTTTTTCTCCTCGCTCACTCACTGTTCCCTCCTGCTTCCTGCTCACTAAATGCCTCCTTCGACTTTATGAGTCTTTCAGCCAGGAGGAAACTGCGCTGTATAATTTAGTACCAATTAAGAAGCAGTCGTGCTGTTTTACCTGGTAAAGTTACATAATGAAGATCTAAGCTATAGTGCTTATGTTTATGGGGTTTTTTTTCTTTCTTCAGCTTTGCAGAAGAAGCCCGAGGACATTAACAGAAGATCTGCAGACATGTGGAGTTTCGCTGTGTTATTGTGGGAGCTCGTTACCAGAGAAGTCCCCTTTGCTGATCTCTCACACATGGAGATAGGCATGAAAGTAAGTTGACACAGTATTTATCTGCCCATAGGCTTCAACATTACATTACAAACACGTGCAGCTTTTCTACTTAACACCGCCCCAATATAAACAGGTGTCTCTCGAGGGTCTTCGGCCGACCATTCCCCCGGGGATTTCCCCTCACATCTGTAAGCTGATGAGGCTCTGCATGAATGAAGACCCAGCCAAGAGACCCAAGTTTGATATGATTGTTCCCATCTTGGAGAAAATGCAAGACAAGTGAATGCTTGTGCATCAGTTCACGCACTTCCTTTTTCATGTTTAATCACCAAACCACTCTATAGCATCACTTCCTTTATGTATCTGCCAAGCCACTGTAAATAATTCCAGGAACCACTTCAGCGACCCACAGTTCAGACACTAATATTGTATTGCTTTTCTTGTATAAGTTAAATTTGTAGTTAAATGTTCTTTTTGGCTAAGCAGCTCTTTTGTAATGACTGAGACTTGGTCACTGAAATGCTGGCAAGCTCTTTTTTTGATCCAGTGTGGATTTCATTCAGTGAAATATGTATAGAATCGATTCTTTTATGCACACCACTGACTGCCAATGCAATAAATGTTTTATATTTATGACAAATGCTTGTTCGTTTCATTTGAGACATCATTTTACTTTCATCACAGACTAAACATTGTCACATTTTCACTTCTTAAAAATCGTTTTCGCTACCTGGATGGGGTTTTGTTTATGTCATTGGGATTTTCTGTCAATGATTGCTTCCGCTCTTTTGTCTCCGGTAGAAAATTCTTCAAATATTACACAATTCTTCACTTAAACTCGTGGAGAAAAAAACAGATTTTGGTGGTTAAAGGTCAAGGTAAGTGACTTTACAGCCATTTTTTGGTCTTAAGAATTCACACTCTGATTCTGACACTGACTGATGTCTAAACACTATGATATTAAAGATCAGCTTCTCAAAAACCAAGATTGCAATATTTTAACTAAGACTAGATGTGACGAAAGCATTTTTCCAATTTGGAAAACTAACTAGAATAAAGTAGAAAATAAAAAGGAAATCTTTTTAGTTTTAGTATTTGGCAGTTTATTTGAATGTGTTTGGTGAAACTTCGGATATGAGTCAACTGCTTTCAAAAGTTCCATGTTTTTACTGTAATGCTAAATCTAACCTCTGCCATATCTGCCCTTAATTAAGAAGACAAACTAACACTAATACTTTTAAACAATAAAAACGAAACTAAAATGATCAAAACCCAATCTGGAAATTACGTGAAACTAAACCGAATTTAAAAAATCAGTAGAGTCATATCATACTAATATGATAACGATATTAGAAAAAAAAAATGCAATAACTGTCAGAGATATCACGGTGTACTTCAAAAATGTTTGACCTTATTCCATGTTTGGTTGGATTGGGAATCAGTCATCTTGGTTGCTTGCACATTCAAGTTAATAACTATATAGAAATTTGAATATTTTGTTGATTCTTTGCAGTAGTATCCATATTTACATGTGTCATAATAGACCCGCTGGTACTGGTGATAGCGTTACACTTATAAAATAATAAATTATGAATCAGTAACGCATGCACACACAAAGGAAATAAGCAACTTACAACTGTTTTGACCAAAATTAAGACTTTATTGGTTTTATTTTAAGATAGCGGACATAAAGCAGAATATACTGACGATCAGCACATTGAATTTATAGTCCCAAATTTATAAAAGTTTGCTTAGGCAGCTATTTCTGGACTTCAGTCACTGTGTAATTAAGGAAGAATTTGGTCAAAGGGGAGGTAAAAATATAAACGGTCAGCGCGTGACCTCAGCTTTGATAATCTTTAATTGACTTAATTTGACAGCTGCAGACTGTGGGCCAATCAGAAAACAGGAAGGGGGGGGGAGCGCACGAGTGAACCCGGCCTCACGTGACGTGTCAGCTGACTTTTTCAGAAGTCAGAGGAAGCAGCAGCAGCGGCTGAGGTGACAGTCGGACTTCCACAAAGAAAGAAGGCTGCCGTGCTCATTTCGTTGCACTTTGTGGACGTGGGAGCTGGGCCGCTCTTGACCTTCCCGCTTCTCACTCAGGGAAAACTGCGGCACTTTGTTATATTCAGAGGTATGGTATCAGAAGAGTAGCTAGCTTTGTTAAGTGTGTGTTCTCGCTGCTGCTGTGTTAGTAGCTGACATACAGAGGAATATTGCTTGCGGTTGTTTGTGAGTCACTTATTCTGAAGCTGAAGCTGAAGCTGAAGTGTTAAGTTAAGCACCGCGACAGTAAGTGTTACTTCCTTGACACCCATCCTTGTTTTGTTCTTGTTGTGCCTGTTGTGTTGCTGTCCTGTACAGAGGCTGAGGCAAACGCTCTCTGAGGACACCTGCTGTCTGGACCATGAGGCTCTCCTCTCAGCCGCCCTCCTTTGGGCTGATAACCTGCTCTTTGGTCTTGATATTGCCGCTGTTTGGCTCCTGTCATCCAGCGCAGCTTTCCGGAAACCCCAGCCTGGTGTTCATGGAGCAGCTGAGCCACTCAAGTGTCAGATTCAACTGGAGAAATGTCACCTGCTACGTCTGCAAAGCTGTCTTCACCATTGTTGATGTTGCCCTTCTGGTAATGTGTTTAAAAATGTCCTATTAAACCACAAGTTGCACAAGTGCAACAGACCATCCGGTCCTTAGAGCAGCTCAGGAAGTCATTTGTTTTAAAAGTGAAAAACATTTAGGAGACGTTTACTGGAGTATTAAAACTGCATTTAAGTGTAGTTATACATTACTTGTTGTTGTGGACTGCATTTTGACTACATGTATAATTAGAGCTTACGTTTTTACAGTCCGTAGAAAATCTTGATCAAAGTCCAACAAATGTTGGAAGACTGCAGCTGCCTCATAAAATGCTGTGCAGGAAGATTATGTTTTCCATATTAACCTGCATCATGAAATAGTGAGAGGTGCTTCTAGTATATTCAATATTCCCTTTACCATTTACATCAGTGTGTTTTCTAATGTTGAGAAGTAGAAACATTTAAACTGGATGGCTGAAGACTAGATTTGATATCAACATATGCTTCTGGTTTAACTGTTTTTTGTTTTTTTGTTTGTTTGTTTTTTATTTCTTCTTTGTGATTTGTGGTTTGTTCCGTTTATTGCACATTGTCCAACTTCCTAAACTGAACAAGGGACTTCTCTTAAGCTGTGGCAGTTACGCTTTTATTTATTTGTTTATTCAATTCTGGTACAGCCAAATTGGGTTAAAAAGACAATAAATCTGAGCAGTTCGCATTATGTTTCCAAATGTGAATCACCAATTATGTTAGAGAATATTACTGCACTTGCAGAGCATAAAAAGTTTAAAAATGTTCGTGGTGTATGATACAAGTCGTATGACACTCTGCTTCTTCTGTGTTTAGCATAAAAGTCCTTAGACTATGTCATGTGGTCTCTATTGACCACAAATAACATGTTTATCGTTAGCTGTAACTGCTGACCTCAACCACATGTGTTTGCATATTCTCCTGTTTTTTAAGTGCAGATGCTGCACTTAAATTCTGTGACTTATGTTCGTACTGTGAAATGTTTCTTTGAGCATGTTTAAATTCAGATTGTTCTAAACAAATTTTAGCTTGGCCTGCTTTGCAGGAAGTTCAAATGCAGTGGTTCGTTTTCTTAATTTCCTCCTCTCAGAGCTTGTTTTTTCTCTGTTAACCCCTTCCCCCAGAGTGATGCAAATGAAGAGCGAGTGGCACAAGCAGTAGGTGAGGCGTGTATCCGTCTCCATCTGGCTGATGAGCAAGTCTGTCGGGATATAATTGAGCTGTTCAGGGATGACTTCATAAGGGCCCTGCAGGAGTCATTTCTGTGGCCCACTGAAGCGTGTGCTATACTGGTGGGCCCTTCCTGTGGCAAATTTGATGTGTATGCACCTTGGAACATCACTTTGCCAAATGTTCCTAAGCCCCCCGTTAAACCACCCTCTCCTCCCAAACCGGGTTCTCCACAGAGCAGAGTACTGTTTCTCACAGACGTCCACTGGGACAGGGTGAGTGTGTGAAACGAAAAGAGCCAAAATTGAAGTGAAATCCTGGCAAACTTGGCTATTCTTGTCCTAATTTTGTGTATATATGTAGTCCCTCAAAGTGTGTCTGTCAGTAGGTGTGTATATGAAACCTTTTTATATTAAGGTCATACGTTTGTTAAAAACAAGGTTAAAGTTAGTGATTTACAGCGTCTGTATATTTTCGGCTTGACTCAGCATAAAGTGTTATGGCTTTGATCACCTGACTTGTTTTGGTTTAACTCGTGCCTTAAAAAAAATATTACTCTTTGTTCCTCCTGACAGGAATATGACGTCGGCAGTGCTGCAGACTGCAAGGAACCTCTGTGTTGTCGTAACAATTCAGGCTCTCCAAACTTGAGCAGGAGGAAGGCTGGGCACTGGGGAACTTATGGAAAGTGTGACCTGCCTCTTTGGACAGTGGAGAACCTTCTGGAAAATGCTGCCAAAGCTGGGCCATGGGACTGGGTTTACTGGACTGGAGACATACCAGCACACAATGTGTGGTCACAGACCAGGGAGCAGCAGTTGTCAGAGCTTACTGTCATCTCCAGACTCATCCACAAGTAAGTTAGCTTTAAGTTTAACTGACTTTTTTTGATACGTGCTACTTTAGCTCATAAAACAGCAGATCAGAGTAGTTTTAATATTATAAAACTAACAATATATGTTGTGCTGGTTTATGGCTACATTCATTACAAACACACTGTAGTCTGACTCAGACCATGTTAACATTCATAGGGTTGTCCAGTCATAAGTTTGTCATGTGCTATCTTGAACTGGTCCAATCTCATGTTGACTCTTAACTTTTGTCCTCAGACACCTGGGACCTAATGTGATGGTTTACCCTGCTGTAGGAAACCACGAGAGCACACCAGTAAACAGCTTCCCTCCACCCTATATTCATGGCAACAGATCCTCTTCCTGGCTATATGACCAAATGGCAGAGGAATGGGCCCCGTGGTTGCCAGATCAGGCATTGAAGACTTTAAGGTTACTGAATTTTATGATTTTATTATATGTGAATGTCCTTTGCCACAGTACTGCAGTTAAAGCTACCCGTAGGTAACAAAGCATTTACACTGGAACACGAGGAAACTGTGTTTATGATGCAGTTTCACTTTGACTGGTTACCAGTGATGGAAAGTGTTTCTTATAAACTTACTGGCCACTTTTTTAGGTGTAGCTGTTAAACTGCTCATTAATGCAGATATCTAAACAGCCAATCACATAGCAGCAACTAACCTGATTAACTGCTCATTAATGCAACTATCTCATTAGGCAATCACATGACAGCCACTCAGTGTGTTTAATCACGCAGACATGATGAAGACAGTCTGCTGAAGTTCAAACCGAACATCAGAATGTGGAACATGGTTATTTAATTTAATTTGAATGTGGTATGGTTGGTGGTGTCAGATGGACTGGTGTGATTATGTCCGAAACTGCTGATCTGTTGGGATTTTCCCACTCAACCATTTCTAGGATTTACAGAGAATGGGCTGAAAAAGAGAAAATGCCCAGTGAACAGCAGTTCTTTGGGTGAAAATTCCTTGTTGATGCCAGAGGTCGGAGAAGAACCTAAAGAACCATTTGTTACAACCATGGTATACAAATGGGCTACAAAAGACCACTTCGGTCCCAGTCCTGTTGTTGTATACACTCACTGGCCAGTGAGTGTATACAACACTTTGAGCTTCAATAAGTGACCCAGAGCCTGATAATGTCTAGAGTTTCATTTAAATTTGAGTCATTCAGAGGTCCTGTTGTTGTAATTACAGATATGGAGGATTCTACACAGTGCAGATTCAGCCTGGTCTGAGGCTGGTTTCTCTCAATATGAACTTTTGTGCACGAGAAAACTTTTGGCTGATGGTGAACTCCACCGATCCCGGGGATCAGCTGCAGTGGCTCATACACATTCTCCAGGCCAGCGAGGACAAGGGAGAAAAAGTGAGTTTGATCATTTAACACTGTGACATTGGGATTCTCTTATTTTAATTACCTCTGATCTCATTTATTAAGCAAAGGAAAACATTTATTTTTCTTTAAAAATATCTCCTCCTTTATTGTAGGTACATATCATTGGTCACATCCCACCTGGCCTTTGTCTTAGCAGCTGGAGCTGGAACTATTATCACATTGTCAACAGGTAGCTGCAGTAGCCACTGAAGATTTAATATAAAGCTGTTAGAAACTGTTAGAAGATAACTGGAGTACTAAAGTCAGTCTGGCTACCTCTTTGTCACTTGGAGTATGATTTGGGCTCGTATTCATTAAGCAATGGTTTATTGTTTAATTGCAGAGCATTAAATGTTTCCCAATGTGAATTTAGAAAAGGTGCGTGTGTAATGCTGATCAATGCAACTAAATCCCAATAAGCAGTATTCTTGGAATTACAGCAGCGAGATACAGAGCTGGCTTATTACTAGAAACACTTTTCAGCATCTGAAGCATGTGAACAGAGATGAATTGGTTGGTTTCTCTTTGGTAAACTACTCTCGCATCCTTTCTTCAGGTATGAAAGTACAATCACTGGACAGTTTTTTGGCCATACGCACCTGGATGAGTTCCAGATGTTTTATGATGAGGAAACCATGACCCACCCATTGGGGGTAGTGTTTATTGCTCCCAGTGTCACTACCTTTGTTGGCCTTAATCCAGGTGAGTTAATAATTGAGTTAAATCATCTTCCAGCATTTCATAAGCAGCACACTCACACGCAGCAAAAATATATCTTTTCAGGATACCGTGTCTACTATGTTGATGGGAACTACCAAGGAAGCTCTCGGTTGGTACTCGACCATGAAACCTACATCATGAACCTTACAGAGGCAAACCACAGTCCATGGGCACCACATAGTCCACAAAAGGATCCTAAATGGACACTACTGTACCGTGCCACTGAAGCTTATGGTCTGTCTACTCTGTTCCCCTCCGATTTTAATCGGCTGATTGGGACCTTTATCAATGATGATCCTGTCTTCCAGAAGTTCTGGTATTTGAGGTATAAAGGACACGTCTCAAAGCCTTGCAAAGAGGTCTGCAAGACCGGTATACTGTGCTACCTGCGAAGTGGGCGTTATGATGACCTGAAGCAGTGCGACTACCTTAATGGTTTTAAAGGAAGCTTAGCCAGAGCTGCCACAAAAACTCTCTGTTGATCTGATGGAGTTTAGCCTGGAAAAGGCAGGGTGAGGGGGGAAAAAGCAATATGACTAAATATGATACTGAGCCAAAAACAAATCATCCTCTGTTGCAGATGGACAATGATTGTTTTTTTTGTTTTTATAGGTTTGGTTTCATAAAGTCACTTGACCTATTATTCATGTTCACATGGATGTGGAACTTAGAAACCCAACTTGAGTATTTGCTGTGCCTCATCACTAATAATGTGTTTTAAATCACTTAGATGAATGTGGGACGGTTGACTTTTTTTCTTTAATGTCAGTTGTGAAAAGGGTGGTTAAAATTGTTCTGAAGCGCACACAGTGTTAGGCATTACAAGGATTCTTCAGTTCTCATGATTTAAGCAGTTCTTTTGAAGCCAGTGCCTTTTCTTTTTTTTCTTTTTTTTTGTTAAACATGAACTTATCGATTCTTGCGATATATCTTTTAAACCTCTGTCCCTCTGAAATTTTAGTCATCCATTAATTTTCTTCTTTTTATATAAATTTGGGGTTGCAAAGTGGCTGGAGCCTTTCCAGCGGTCGTGGGGCAAGAGGTGGAGCACACCCTCTATAGGTTGCAAGCCTGTGGCTAACACAGACAGGCAGCCATTCACACCCACATTGACACAAGAACCGACACATATACAGTAACCTTGCAAACTCCACACAGAAAGACACCTGCTGGCAGACCTTATTCTTGTGCCGCGATGAAGCTAATCTCAGTCCCACAGTGTGACTCAAATGTTCTGGCACTTTAATATCTTTTTTTAAGTCCTTCGTCAGCACCATTGTTTGGATTTTAGGCCTGTGCTTTATGTAATCCACCTTATGTGCAACATTTTTTGCCTCAGCAAAAACATCTTTTAGCCAACCAAAGAGCAGTATTTTACATTCCTAATGTTTACTTCTGCCTGCACTTTGTTTTTAGCCACTTTCTTTAGCAGTGAATAAATCTGACATGCTTGTTTGGCTCCTCAAATCTGGGGAATTAATGGTGTAACAGGAAAGTGCTTGTAATATAAGCAGTAATTTAAGCGATTGTACAGAGTGTGAATAAAATTGCTTGCTCGTTACCTATTTGTGGGGCAAATATTGAGTTTAAATTAAAATGATTATTTTTAATTAAACACATGCACAGCTCCAACACTTTATTACAGTTTTTTGTTCTTCAGAAATTTGATACAAAAACTGCCATCAAATCATTATTTGCATTGAAGTGACCCTTAATTCATCAAAATCAATACAGTTTCTACAATAGCTGCTGCTTTGAAAGCTCAAATTCTAAATCATTGTGAGACTAACATCTTTTCTGAGCTCTCGTTAGCAATGTCTTAGCTTCCTCTCTCCCTTTTCCACATTTCCACCAAAGACAACTCTAACCCTAACCAATACCTAGGCTACTTTAGGTTTCAATAAATCCTCAAGTGGGGCTGAATAGGTAACAGCATTGGGAAATAGTTCACAAATAAAGCACTGAGCTATGAAAAGAAAAGCCACATATAGCTTTATAATTTCATGAATGCTAAATGTTGATCATTTTACTACATACAAAAGTACCTGCACATACAGATTAATTTAAATGTGGACATTATTCTTTGTGTATTGGTAATTCTCCATGTCTCACAAATTTAAGTGGCAAAAGCTGAGAGTAGAATTTTAGTCTACATTATTTGTAAAGTGGAGAATTGTAAGCACTTAAGATCACAACATTTAAACATGTAAATGTGCGGTATTCCTCTGGTCAATTTTAAACACAAACTGCATTTTTTAAATTAGTGTTCAATTTGCATATTTCTGTTCATTATGCATCATTGAAGCTAGAACAGGTTTTCCCATCTTTCGATCTTTCTTTTATTCAGATTCTAAGAAGAACATAGTGACACCAAAGTCTTCCTTGTACAGGTCCCAGGTCTTTGGTTTGTGTGGGTTGTCCAGCTCTTCCCTGGGTAAAAACAACCTGAGGACAGTTTAAAGAGTGTAAGTCATGATAATACAGTCAAAAAAATACAAAAAAACGGTCTCTGATCTGCTGAAATAGAAAAAGAAACACACTTGTTATCTTCTATGAAGGATGTATTGAACCAGAAGTAGAATGGAACATCTTCATATCCTTTCGGGAGACCCTAAGGGTGATGAGAACAGATCACATGAATCTAATTCACAAGCTTTCCTTTAATATAGGTGAAAGGTGAAAAAGTAAGCACTCACTGCACTCGATTCAAACATGACCTTCACATCTCCTTCAACCACAGGTCCATTCTGCAGGCTGATGACTGCTGCGTTATTACCCACATCAGGAAATACCTAACAAAACGCATAAACGGGTTAAAACGCTAAAACTCTTCAATCCTGTTGTGTGAATTTGTGAGTGTGTGACAGACTTACCGTGCAGTTCTCCTGCTTGGCACACACACACTCAAACACCAGCTCTTTTCTCACAATTATCTTGACCTTGAAATCGCTACCATTACCTTTACCAACGCCTGAGCAGGAGTAGAGGGAGAAAAAAAAAAGCTCATATGTGCCACTGTTGGTGGTGCAGCTATAAACGAACATGATTCAGGTTTTCTAGTTTACCTGCTATGGAGTGGATACGGATGCTTTTAATCCTGAGGCTTTTTAGTGGAGGCAATTGTCTGTTGAACTTATTCTTCATGATTTCATAGTACCCTACGTACCGGCTCTGCAGGACACAAAAACAACAAAACCTTTTAACATATTGTGGCTGTAGGAGGTAGAGCAAGCCATCTACTAATTGGAAGGTTGGTGGTTTGATCCCTGGCTCTGCCTAGTCTGCATACCAAATATCCTTGGGCAAGATATTAACCCCAAGTAGCTATGTGATGCATCCATCGGAGTATGAATGTGTGTGAATGGTGGTTAGAAAGCATAGAAGATAGTGAATATGTGAATTTGGCATGTTCTATAGAGCGCTTTGAGTACTCTGGGAAAGTAGAAAAGAATAAGAATCAGTCCATTTACCATTAAAAAAAGCAAGCATTTAGTTTTTGTACGTGTATTCCAACAGGCTTAAGAAGATGTTGAGACTCCAGAATCCCTTTTATGCTTCTTGGAATTGATTTCACCGGTGCCTAAAACTCTAATATACTTATTCCAAAAGACATTCCTTTACTATTTGTTTTGATGATGGTTGTGAAGAGCGATGTCTCACAGGTACGCCCAAAATCTCCCACAAATGATTTGTAAGACAGAACCATTGGCTGTTTCCAAATACTTTCCTAGAAAAGGTTTGGCCAAAACCTGGCAACTTTCTGTGGCGATGTTACAAATTTTGTAAAAAAAAACAAAAACAAAACAGTTGCCTCACATGTGAAGAAGGCCGTTGTATTGCTGCCATGCTTTTGTGTTTCTGCCACATGGAGCTGCTCATCATAATGATTAGAGGTCTTCACTACAAAGAGTTTTTGATGACTTGTTGTTACCTGAGAGGGAGTCTCCACCCCCTGAAACTTGGAGCTCTGACTTTTGTCCGTCCTCCGCTCGCCAAAATACTCCAGACTGTCCTTCAGTGCGAAAAGAAACAGATGTAAGGATATAGCTTTGTTTTAAAGCACTTATCTATTTACCCTAGTTTCACAAGTAAGTAAGAGAGATGTACCTGTGCACTCTCAAACTGGTCACTGTCGATAAGCCAGGTGCACACCATAGTACCGGTGCGTCCTGGGAAAGGGAGCAGTAGAATTCACATTTAAAAAGACGCATATTTTCAAATAAGTGATCCAATGATAATGAGTCAAGGAGAGCTCACTAATGTTACCTTTCCCTCCTTTGCAGTGGATCGCAATGATGTTTTGGGGATCAGCAGACATCCACTCTCTCACGCTCGCTGTGTATTTGAGCATGTCCCTGAAACAATCCAGTACAAGAACAAAGAAATAAGGTGTGAAAATACTAATTGGCACTGGAATTGATGCAGTTGTGATGCATCTTTTTCCTGGATCCGAGTCATTTATAGAAATGCTTGAAGTCTCAACATTGGTATAGGTTTACTACAAGAAAAAGATCCAGATTAAAGAAAAGGCCACATATGAAACAGAAACCGTGCTCACTCCAAGGAGGGGACATTGTGGTCATCAATAAACACCCGTTCAACCCTGTAGTGGAAGAACTGGGGGTCGTAGCCTTTCTCACCTGGAAGCAAAAAGAAACTACGCTGTTTTGTAATCCTCAACAAAAGGGCATACAGTGCATGTGAGGAAAGGTGGTGCACACTTACTGCAAAGATTGTAAACTTTATAATGGCCTTCATGTTTAGTGTCTAGAAACCTTGCCACTTCCTGCACAAAGAGAGAAGAGAAGTCAGTTAAAAGCCAATGGTAACTGTGATTGGGATCATTTTGATCTTTGTCTATGTTATTATTATGTTTGTAAAATGAAGCAGGTGGTGCATGGTTCGCATCCAAGGCCACTCACTTACCCTGATTGGATTCCTATAGAAGGCTTGCTTCCCAGAGGAGGGGAAAGACATGGCGATGACGCGGTCTACAGAGCGGGTAAAGATGCAAAATCATTGTTTTTCTTTTCTTTTTTTTAAATCTCAAAATGTATTTTCCTGACATGCATAATTGTTTAACTTCAAACACCTGCCTGTGACATAGGTAAGATCGAGGTCAAATCCATCCTTCTGATAACGCCGCTTGTTTTCAGAAATCTGAAAAATAAGCAATTTTTCCAGTGTTCTTTCTTGATGCCAACCCTAACACTTGTAACTGTCCAGTTTGCGTCTAGAATGACGACCTTACCATCCTCCTGGTGACTTTCTCCAGCTCTTTCTTCTGAGCAGCCAGTCTGAAAACCCTCACGAGGATTATTATTCTCAAGAAGCGGAGAAATGTCACAACCCTGAAAGGAAAATTGCAAAAGTGAATCATTATTCCAGGTGTTCGAAGTCCAGTGCATTCAAAAGGAGATTATAAAATCTGTAATATGGTTTACGATACTCTATGCAACTACTGCATGTAGCTTAAAACCATATGGTTAAGCTAAACAGTCATTAGACAATCAGCCAAGTCAGTCATTCATTCTCAGATTTTCACCACCAAATAAGAAAACAAAAATAACTTCAACATTTTTTTGCTTTGGTTTTTAAAGTACAATATGGCTAATTGCAAATTTACTGAAAACATTGCTCTATTGCTTTCTTTTTGGAGTAGTTTGTACACAGATCTATGAGGTCAGTCAGGAATCATAAGAGAAAACAAGTAGGTGGGCTATTGGTGTAAATTCCCATATGGAAAAGAAATACAAGATTTTTTTTAATTCAAATATTAAATGTGTTATACTATGATATGCTCATTAAAGTGGCCCCTTTTGCATTTTTCTTATCTAACAAAATGTTTATTTACTGATCATACTTAATTATTTAATTGTTCCTTCCAACTGTATGCCTGTTGTGATGGGAATGCAATGAGCAAACATGTACCTGGGGATGAGGCTGGGACCTGACAGGTCAGAGAAGGTGTAGACCATGGTGACCACCAGTGTGACAATCACCACGCAGGCGTCTATGATGTTCAGCTTGGAGCTGAAGTACACTTTGAAACTAAAAGGAGGCCAAGATAAGTGGAAACATGACACAAGACAATTAGTATACAGCTGGAGAAAGACTCCGCACAGATCATGCAATGGACATATTCAGTGATTTCTCTGACACTCTGATGACTGTGCCATTACATTTCCTAATCCCTAACCCAAAACATTTCCTGTCTGACTTCCTTTTCACAACTTCCTGTTTAATGACAAATCAGACTTGGTTTCAGCTGATTCAAAACTCCGGTGGGAATCACTGCTTTAAACATTTCTCTTTCTCACATTAGCACGGAAACAGTTGCGATCGCGATCCACTGCATCAATGTGAGCACTTCTTCTAGCGCAGTGTCAGCAAAAAGTTACTTTTGCAAAAGTAAGTTTTGTCTGATTTGTTAGGCAATCCACTGGCTTCCTCAGAACAGAGGCTATTCTTCCTGGAAGGCTGGCTCATGCGCATGACTTCTTACTCACAAACGGGTGTTGATGGTTACAGAGGTACAGAAAACAACGACTAGACTCCCACAAGCATTTCTCACTCACCCCTCCACATAGACACGCAGGAGGACATCGGCAAGGAAGAAGAAAGAGATGGTGAGGGACACAGCCTCTAACGCATTTCCAGCATCTCTACTCTTGGCTGGCAGCGAGAGATCCACAATCACCAGCACAAAGTCCACTATGATCAGTGTTACTCCAAATAAACTGGAAAGAAAGACATGCAAATGATGATAAAACATCCACTTAATTAAAAAGACAACCAGGTAGGGGTGTACCCTTTTCCAATTTGCAAAAAACACACTCACCGAAAGCCAAAGGACATGACAAACGGGGCTATCCTTTTCCGAAGATTGCTGCAAAACAGGGGACAGGGTTATATGTGCCTGTATGTAGAGCTGAAGGGTTGTGCAAATTGGATCTCTGTAAACTTACTAGTACAGCGTGTCTGGTAGTGCACTCTCCTCCTTTCCATCATCAATCTCTACTTTAGCGTTCTCCATCTTTGTCATGTTTCTGAGAAGACAGATAGAGATTACGGACAAAGACACACAAATATATGTATTTGTTTGATATATAGAGAGAGATAAATAAATAAAAACCTCACCCATTTACACTTGAGTCTAACCCTGGGCTAAAGTACACAGAGGACATGATGCTTCTGTTTCCTTTCTCTTTTTGTCCTGAACGTGGAGTTTCTGCATTTGGAGACAAAAGCGTGATAAGATTGAGTGCACCCATTTCGGCGCGATGCTACGTGGTTACAATGTGGAAACAAATGAGACAAGAGTGCATAAACTTTGTGTCATCGTCCTAAAACGCTGCTTTTCTTCAAACCAGTCTCTCACGCATTTCCCGGTGCTACCTGCAGGATGCAGGAGTCCACAGCGCGTCCCTAAACCACTACATTCAGCTGCAGCACGTACAAAGAAACTGCTCAAGAAAGGAATCGCTCATTCCGTTTACCTCTGGGTAAATTTTAACAAAATTTCACCGCCCGGTCCACAGTCTGTGTGATCACCATTCACTGTCCTGTTGCTTTCCTTGCAGCGTTCACAACAAATCAGACCCTCAAAAAGCCCAACTAAACTAAACTCCCACCGCCTGCTTACCGTCGGGACTGTCATTCGTCAAATTATACGAGACTTCGTCTTGTGACTTCTCCCGGGGACAAAGGAAGACGGTTCAAAGGTTAACCGGGTGGATTTTTTTCTATCCATCCACTATTCCTCATCGTTTTTGCAAACGTAGCGGTTTCGAACTTCCTGGAGCTCAGTAGAAAAAAAGAAAAAACAGGAGGAAAAAATGCCCCCCCTCTTTATTCATATTTCCTTCTCAGCTTACTTTGACTCAAAAACAGAGTCTGACGGTAACCCTTCTGCACAGACGTATTTAAACCGCCGATAGTTACTAAACTAGCCCAACGGGCTGCCTAATTTGGAACATCTGGTTCTAATAGACTGGCCAAAATAACGAAATAGTACATTCCTGCCTTTTGCGTCACTTGTTTGTTTGTTTTTTGTCATGAATTCATGAAATTTGGGTATGATATTCAGAAAAGTAAAAAGTAAAAAAAAAAATGAAATAAATACATAGAAAACACAAAATACCTCAACTGCTCCCTTTAGGGGTCGCCACAGCGCATGTCTGCCTCCATCTGACCCATTTTCCTTGCATCATCTTTTATTACAACAACCCTCTGCGTGTTTACTTCACATGCAGAGGGTCATTTATCGTCTTCCCACACGCTGACTTCCTACACTACAGTTTGCACCTTTCCCGTGTTTTATACCATTGCATATTAAATATGTGTAAATATTATAACTTTAGTGTCCTGGGTAATGTTCACCCGGATGTTCTGCTGTTCATGAAATTACTAAGAAATCATATATTGCATTACTTTATTGCTCGAATTAGTGTTTGAAGTAGGACATTTATATAAAAAGAATGTAATTTTTTTTTAGGAATAATTGTCTCCCCCCAATAGATCACTGTGTTATATTTAAAAGGCAAACCCCACAAGCAGCGCTTCTGGTATGTAAAGAATGGAGCTCTTTCAACATTTTCGGTCAGTGAAGCTATTTGCAGCTCTGAGATCAGCTCTACTTTCAAGACAATGCGATGGTTTATGAAGGAGCAAGCACAAAACTGACCTGAGTTCAGTGTTTGACGAGACCGTTCTAGTCCGAATCCTCTAATGTGAAACATGCAGACGCCCAGCCTATAAATAATGCTGACAAATTTTAGGGGAAGAGAACACTGAACCTGAAGAAAACAAGGGAAGCTTTGTGAAATGAAGGTAAGGCTTGTGGCTTCGAGATTCTTCAGGTGTTTAAAAAAAGCATTTAAAGTTTTGGATAACTTTTTGATTTTTCTTAAAGTTTTAATCTAAATTGTCTTGTTTATTTTAGAAAACGTGGTTTTTCCTAAAAGTCATGCCAGTGTTGCTGTTCTTGACTCTGCTGTGCCCAGTCTTGGTCTCCTCTTCACAGCCGTCTGTATGTATCTACTCTGTAACAAATATTTTCATTTATTTTTGTATTGACTGTGAAAACTGAAAATGTTTGCCTTAAATTGTGTTTTTTCTAGATGTGTAGAAAAAAACCGTGATGCATTACTTGCTTCCTCTGTGTGTTATCAGAATAAAAACAGAGGTATTTTTTTCCTTCCTTATTTTAAGGCAACAGACTCGTGCGGGCCTGAGTTTGCTGTTCTCAAGCGCAGCATAAGGAAACTTGAAAATAGTCTTTTGATCAGAAAATGGCAGGTTGAGCACTTGCAGACGCACAAATACTTCCGTCCGTTTCAGCCTGCTGCGTCTAACAGCAAACCTCAGGCTGATTCAGACCCCGATTCTGGTTTAAACCACAACAAGAGCGCAGCACTAGATGGACTGGATATGACGCTGACTAAACCACTTCCACCGACAGGCAATTTAATTGTATATGATAAAGGTAAGAAAAGCGCACTATGTTTGGTGCAAATCTACAGTGCATGACGCATTTTTCTATTTCTAGTTCACTGAGTTTTGCACATGCACAGCTATTTTTACTTGACATGCAACACAAAGTCAAAATGTCAATGTAAGAACAATAATCAGCAATCTCTGAAGCATTTAGTCTTTCTTCTAGACTGTTCTGAACTGTTCGACAGACAGAGACCATCAAGCGGTTTCTACCGCATAAGACCCAAATTACATCAGGAGCCCTTTTTAGTTTACTGTGACATGGATGATGGAGGAGGGTGGACAGTGTTTCAAAAACGCCGGCATGGAAGAGTTGACTTTCACAGGTAATTGTGCAGAAGAAGTAGCCCACAGCATGTGGGTGGAAGATCCCACAGCCTGTCTATCTAGTATGATGCTGATAAAGCTTGTGGGGTTTTCTGTTTGAAGTCAACTGCCAGCCTACTTCTCATTTCAGAGACTGGGTGGACTACAGAGATGGCTTTGGCGACTTCAAACTGTGGAATGACGAGTTTTGGTTGGGCAATGAACATATTTACTCTCTGCTCTCAGAAGGTCAGCAGGTCACGTTATGCACTAATGCTTCACATTAGACACCCAGTATGTGTTTTTTCATTCATATGTTGCATTTTAAAAAGTTCTATTTCCTGTCTTATTAGCTTCTCCTTTACCAACTTTACTTTGTGTCTTTTTTGTGCTAAAGGTAAGAACCTTGTGAAGATCGATCTTATGGATTGGGATGGACAGAGAAGCTATGCGTTTTATGACAACTTCAGGATCACCAATGAGGCTGTGAGAAAAACACTTTGTGTAGCTTTTCCTTAGAATCATAAGTATAACGATCCTCCCAGGAAACATTGTTCTAATGCTCATTCCAGGATAAATATCGTCTTCAGTATGGGCAGTACAGTGGGTCAGCGGGAGATGCTCTCAGTGGAAGCAGGGGTGTGGTGGAGCAGTGGTCTTCTTGCCTCAGTGGCATGCATTTCAGCACCAGGGATCAGGTTAGTCGCACATCTGTCAAAACCATTACCACTCCAAGATGGCAAGTTGATGTTTCACAGCACGTCTAATAGACTACTCATGTGCAAATGATGAATGTGAAAACACTGATGCCGGTGGTTGACAGGATAACGACCGGTACCTCCAGGGAAGCTGTGCCCAGGAGAATAAAGCAGGTTGGTGGTACAACAGGTGAGGCTGTCACCCACCCTTTCTGTTTCATGATGAGTCTGCATCACTTCAAATGTGATTACGGTATGAAGTTTCTGTCCCTTCACCGGGTTTTGTAATTTGGAAAATTTACCTTTGACATTGTGCCCTTAACTTCTGATCTACAGATGTCATGCAGCCAACTTAAATGGAAAATTCTATCGCAGAGGGAAGTACAAAGCCGAGTATGATGACGGTATTGTTTGGGGGACCTGGAAAGGCCTTTGGTATTCACTTAAACACACCACCATGAAGGTGCGGCCTCTGGTTTTCCTAGACGCCGTGGGCAGTGGAGCGGGCGAAATTTAAAAACCTAAACGCTAAAAAACAAAAACAAACATTCTTTGCCATATTTTAATTTCTCCCTTTGCTATTTTTCTATCAAATATCAGTAATACCGTATTGTATGCATTTCTTTCTGTAAAGTGTCTATTAACCAAACACTAAAATAAACAGCATTTCATCCATAACACCTCTCTGATGTTCATTTGATTGTCCTCAAGCATAGTTACAATGGATACAACTGTGTAATTTTCATTACATATTTGACACTGCTTAGATCTCACATTAAACAGTGAAGCTGTCAGGATCTGGAGACTCGACTGGAAAGTGCTATCAGGCACCTGAGTTCCTTGGTCTCCACCCCTGGGCGGAGCCATCTCCCTGCTGCAGTCCTGCACACCTGAGACTGATTCGGGGCAATCAGGTTGAGGATTTAAGGTCCCCTCAGACTCTCCTTCACCGCCAGTGCGTCAAAGACCTCACGTTGGTATTGACTCTACGACTTTTCACGCTCTTGCCACTTTTTCATTGTTAACCTTGGTTTCATGTGCATTTCCTGGACCTTCGTTGTCATCGCCCTCAACCCCAGCTCGCCTTACCTGCCCTCCAGCCTCACTCACCACCTTGGACACAGCGGAACTCAGGTCTGCCAGCCGTTCCACTACTCCCCTGGACTACCACCGCCTCTCCCTGAAAGCGAGATTCACGCCGATCACCAACGCAACCGCTCCGTTCCCGTCTCAACCTGCTAAATCCCCGTTCACCCCCGACCCACGGCTACTTCGTTAGCAACTCCTTGTCACGAATTCACTGGTTGACTAAATAATAAACACTGCAAAACGTTTGAGCCGTCTCTGTTTGTGGTTATCTGCAATCGAGTCCAATTTAGCTATCGGCCCGTGGCCATTGTGACAGAAGCAGTGTAGCTGGTGCGGTTTCAGTATTGTAGAGTACTGTAATTGCAGAAGACTTGGCAGCACTATAAAAGAAACACATACAGTTATGTGGAAATAAAACTAGAGCATTATCTGGGTCTAGGTATTGATTTTAAGAGTGCATTTAGAAAATGTGACAGGTTTATTGTACCAGCTGTTGAAGTACAGAGGAGAAATGTATTTCCAAAGTGTGTTTAAAAATCTCAGCAATGGCATACAGTGAATTAAATAAAACTTTCAGTCAGTAATAATATTACAAAATATCAAAACAAACCTTAAAAAATTCCAAACTAAAGTCAAAAATAAGAACTTTAAAAGATAAACATATAGAGATAAATCTAACATTACAATACATAGGTGGGTACAGAGATGTAGGGTGAAGGGTAAAGAATAAATGTGATTTTTCAGTGGCAGCTTTTCTCAGCTGTCGTTTGTGATCTACTCCTCCTCCCATACATATGACGAGGACAGATCTAGATCCAGCATCTTTTGTTCTGCCTCGCTCAGCTTGTAGGGAGAGCCATCACTGCTGGTGTACTCCTCAGTCACGGGCAGAGAGTGGCAGCGACCTTTCCTCTGGTCTGAAGATGAAGCAGTAAAGCTGGAGCTGCGCTTGCGCCCCTTGGCTGCAGAGTTGGACTGAGCCTCCTTTAATTTCCGGGCCAGGATGTTCCTCTGAATTGGTGAGGGGCCACGACGATTCCAGTTCTGTTCAGCCCGATCCAAACTCAACTGGTTCACTTCCTGAGAACTAACAAGTGCTGCGGCGGGACCCCCGATCCCTGAAACTTGGTCACTGTTTTTTCTCCTCTCTGCTGTGCTATTAAAGTCAGATTTACCCTGTGTCCCAGATGCTGAAATTGTGTTTGTGTTGGTTCCAGCATGTTTGATTTCATTAATGTGTGAAAGCACTGGTTTCTCTGTCCAGGGGTTCCTCTGGTCACTTTTCTGTAATCTGGATCTAGCCCACTCTGAAGCCCCATGCTCTGGAATTGGATAAGAGCGATATGGCTGTCTCTCCCACCCTCCTTTGCTCCAACAGCTTCCTTCGGGAAGAGTCCGAGATCCCACCTGGAAAGGACATAACGGTTAATCTTGACCATTCGTGGCACTAAAATGTTTTACAGCAATAATAAATAAACAAAATAAAAAATAAATTAAAATCATACTAAAGAGTATATAAGTTACCTGGGTCAGGCTTCTTTCTCTGAACTGTCTGGACTGTGAGAAGGACGGTAGCTGAGGTTTGGCATCATTAAAACTGGAAGTCCGTCGGAAATTTGGATTCTTATGATAAGAGTTTCCCGCTGCTGCATGTCCTTCTTCTCTGAAACCTGTTAGCCCACTCCTCTCTACCATCTCTACCCAGTCAGCAGTGCGGTCATGCCACTTGGAGCTGCTCCTACTTGCGTGAGCAGCAACAGGAGGACCTACGATCAGTTCTACTCTAGGACTCAGTCTGTCCGGTGTGTCCCTAAAAGTTTGTGGTGGTGGTTCAGAAAAGGGAGCTGCAATGTGAAAATTCTTGAGTTTAGAATCACCCTGTAGACCTAAAGGGGAGGCAGAATGAGCAAATCCAATCGGTGTAGGAATGGGAGAGATGGTGGGTGAAGCAGATGTGTCTACAACAGTGTCATGGACAGGGCTGGAAGAGACATGGTACAGCTGTGTAGCCTCCTTTAAGCCCTTCTTCTTCATCTCTTTCAACTGTTGTTGTGCCAATTTGTACCTAGGCAAAAAATAGTTTCCGGTTTATTGTGTGTGTGTTTTTTTTAATAGCTGTGACAAAAAGGGCGACATCTGGGATAGAATATTATAAATTTTAAAACATACCCAAATATTGGTGGAAACACCTTCTGGCCAGTGGGAGATAGTCTTTCTGGGTCCTGTGGGAGTGGTATCACCACGGTCTGTGAGAGAGGTTGACTTCCCAAGAAAGCCCCATCTTTTTGGGCTGCAGCCACACCCACGCCCCCTGAAGGGCTGTGAACATCAGACAGGCTGGGTCTTTGTAGGCTGTGCCCACAGATGGAAGCCTCATCTGAGAGCTTGCGCCCTCCAGGAGAATGCATGGAGCTTCTCCGGACAGAGCTGCACTGAGGGCTCTGGCAAAATTTTCTCCACACCGTCACCACAACAGTAGCCATAATCACAGCCAGACAAAGGGAGATACCAACTACCACAATCATGTTACCGCCCAAGGGTGCAACTCCAACCGGTGCAGGTGAGAGAGATGGAGAAGGAGCTGGTACCACTGGGACAAAAAGAAAAACAAAGTTTGGACACAAAACTGAAGAGAAAAAGCTTTAATCTAAGATACTGAAGTTTAGAAAGAGCAAGTTAAGGGTAAACAAACTCACCGACACAATCCTCTAATGAACACAGGGACTGCTCCTTGATCATGCCAGTGCACTGCATCCCTCGCACACCTGAGGGCAGTAAACACTCACGCACTCGTTCCCTCACCCCTTCTCCACAGCTCACGCTGCACACACTCCACGGCTGCCATGGCCCCCATGACTCTGCAGGATGCAAGGAAAGTGTTAAAACACGATAAAGCAGATTAGTAGTTTAAAACCTTTAACTCTGCATTGCTACATAAATTCCCTCCACTCCAATACACCAAAAACACACGGGCTAAACAATCTCACCTGCACTTTTGTAAGCCACCAGACACGTCTGTGCTGGACTGGGCGAGCGGCTGTAGTTGAAAACAAAGCGAAAGCAGTACTTATGCCTTCCCGGGTAAAACACGGAGCAGTTGAATTCAGTTTCATTCTCTCCCTGAGTCAGCCAGTTAAAGGCCAACGGGGGAGAAGTGGGCTCCTCTGCAGATGAAGCAGCATCACTATACAGTAATACTTTCCCATTGATGTGAGCACAGGGCGGGGTGATCAATTTAACAGTCATAGTGCCCTCACAGCCACTCTTGTACGCATTGGCATTTTCCACTAGCAGCTTATAGGAGAAGATACGGGACAGGTAGAGCGGTCCAGAGCTCTTCACCTCCTGTGCTGTGTGAGGAGACTGTAGAGCAACTCTTATGAAATCTCTGTCTGTGAATGGGAAGGCACAGGACAGTTCAACACTCTGAGAACGGAGGGGTTTGATTGGGATTCGCGTGAGGGCTCGGACCTTGTTGATGCTCTTATGACCTATTTGGTTGTACTCCATGTAGCTGACTTCTAGTGAGAGAGCAGAATCAATGCCGCTGGAACAAGCCTGAAAGTGTTCATTAGTGGATATCCCAACCTGAAGAGAAACAACAGAAGAGAAGTATGATAATTATTTATGGTCATTGTTTTACAGCAGTATATACTGAAATGTTGTTTTTATTGCCTGAAAGGATCCAGAGTGGTTCCCAGCTCTCTCCACGGCAATATGAAAGGTTGGCCAATGGACTTGTAGTTCTGAACTCCACCACCAGGTAGTGCTCTCTATGCTACTGCCCTCTGTGCTATTAGTAGGGAAAACAGTGGAGATGCTGGTTTGTCTCAGCAGGAACCGGAAAGTTCCTGCGTATGGGAAGCAGGAGCAGTTGAACTCCACCCTGCCAGCCGGTTGATTGTTGTGGAGAGTCTTGGTCAGAACAGTGGTGTTGCTTTCCGTGTTGACGAGAGATAGGCTCCTTCTCCGGATGGTGCTGCTGTTGGATTTTATGCTGAAGTCCACAAATACACTGCTGTTGCTTAGGGCAGAATGCAAAGAGGGCCAGATATTGAGCCCTGCAAAAGCTGCAGGAAAGAAAACACACAAGTAGATGTGAGAAAGACAGAGAAAGGAAAAAGAAAATGTTACACATTGTTCTACAAGTGGTGAATACACCTTCTTAATATGTCCACAATGGGTAAAATTAAGTCTGGTTGTAGTTAACCATTAATGCATTTATTTAAAAAAAAATCCAGATTTTCCAAGCATGCAAGCAAAGTTTTACTGTACCTAAAGGTTTTTTCTAGTTCCATTTTGTTAGGTAAATTAATCAGAATGATAAGCTCAAGTGTGAGTTAATATTTGTGGCTGTTTAAAAAAATACTAGGAGTGTATGGGTCTGTTCATTTTTGTTGGTAATTTTACAAATTGTAGAAGGTTTTCTAGTAAAACTTGGCCTCAATTGTGAGTTTATAAAGCGTCAGTTTTGACAACACATTGTAACCATAATTTATAACAACGTGTCCTATGTGTAATTATAATACTTTTATAAACCTCTTATACATTTCCCTTATCCAACATCAGATATATTGCCCAAACAACCA